TTGTAAATAGTAACTACTATATATAAAATAGATAAGCAACAAGACCTTCCTGTACGGCACAGGGAACTCTATTCAATATCTTGTAGTAACATATAATGAAAAAGAATATGAAAAGGAATATGTGTATGTACATGTATGACTGAAACATTATGCTGTACACCAGAAACTGACAGAACATTGTAAACTGCCTGTATTTCAATTAATAATTTTGATTTTTTTAATTTTTTTTTAAAACAACAACAGGCAGTAGCAGTTGGGAAAGCAAACAGAAGAACTGGCGTATCTCAGATACCAGGAGTAACACTGCACTTTTAATAGCTCTCAGAAACAATGGGCCCAAAGAAAGCAAAACCTTACAAGCTTACCACTAATCCACTGACATCAGCAGATACGCTTTATGGGGTGTTATTAATTCTCACTCTGGCCATTGTTTTAGGACTTTATGCAATTATTTAAAACAGTATTTCACAAACTTTGACACAAACTCAAGCATAAAGAATCTGAGGGTGTGTTCAGAATAGGCAAGTTATGAGGAACATTCAAAAACACTTCACCTCCTCATCTCAGGGGCCAGGATCTTGGCAAGAGGGAAAGGCCAGCCAAGAGCAAAATGCAGTCTGGTTTGGGACTTGAATCCTAGCTTGAGAAATCCAGGCATTTTCAAGTGGAAAAGCTGCTTCCTTTAGTGAAGAGGAAACTCACATTTCTGCTTCAATATTGTCCTTCTTGAACAGGAGCTTATGATAAATATAACAAAACAGAAATAGATTCACAGATGCAGAGAACAAACTGGTAGTTACCAGAGGGGAGAGGGGAGGGGCAAGACAAGGGTAGGGAACTAGGAGATACAAAGCTTATGTATAAAATAAATAGGCTACATACAAAGTAGATAAACAACAATCTCCTACTGTACAGCACAGGGAAATATATTCAATATCTTGTAGTAACCTATAATGAAAAAGAATATGAAAAGGAACATATGTATGTATATGTATGCCTGAAACACTATGCTGTAAACCAGAAAGTGACACAACATTGTAAACTGACTATATTTCAACTAAAAAAAATTTGAAACACAAATAAATTAAATAAATTTTTTAAAGAATATATTTATATGTATAACTGAATCACTATACTGCACACCAGAAACTAATACAACATTATACTTCAATATGAAGTATATACTATATACTATACTTCAATATGAAAATGGGGGAAAAATAAAATAAAATAATACTATTCTAAAAATGAATTAAAAAATAAAAATATAATAAATAGGCTATAAGGATATATTGTACAGCACAGAGAATATAGCCAATATTTTATAATAACTTTAAATGGAGTATAATCTATAAGAAATAATCACTATGTTGTATACCTGAAACTAATGTTGAAAATCAACTATACCTCAATAAAATAAAAATAAAAATTAAAGGGGCTCGTGTTTTGTTTACACCGAATACAGCAATGAACAGGAGAAATGTAGGTCCTGCTCTCAGGGAGTTTTACTAACTAGCTGGGAGATCCTAAGAAAGTTTTTTTCCCCCTTCATTAGTTGGGGTCTCAGTTTCCCCATGTGTCAGATGGAGATCTTTCTCACTGAGCTTCCTAAGTTTCCACTGATGGGTGGTATTCATTCCAAAGACACAGGCACAAATAGCATTGTTAAAATCACTCCACACACCCAGGTAAAAGGTGTTCTGCACACTCTGTTCTGACATCTCATTATAGAACAACTCATGAGCATGTACTCTAGCTCAGGAGTTTTTAATAACCCAGGCCAGGACTCTCTCTCTGTGTAACAGTCTTTCCATAACCTCACCTTTAAAAGTGACTCGTAAACCAATTCACAAAAGAGATTTTTAAAAGGTAATACCCAAAGTTGGTGAGCATGTGCCTATGTCAAAACAATAGGCACTCAGGGCAGGTGGGTATAGCTTGGTGGTATAGCACGTGCTTAGCACACACGAAGTCCTGGGTTCAATCTCCAGTACGTATATTTGGGAAAAAAAAAAGGCACTCCCATTCCCTGCCAGAAAATATGTAAATTGGTATAATTTTTCTTTGAATCAATTTGGCAGTACCAATAGAGAGCCTTGGTACATTCATTATCTTCTCACCTAGTAATTATACTTCTGAGAATCTAGCCTAAAGAAATACTGCAAAATATCTACTCAGAAAGATGTTCATCACTGCATTATTTTAAATGCCAACCCAAATAAACAATGGAAACAGCATTAAAAATGTATAACACTTTTAATAACACAGGAAAGTACTTCTCTTATATTAAAAACTGAATGCAAAATGATCCAGGCTTTCATTGTGATTGTAGTTACATTTATATATGTGTGTGTATATATGTGTGTATGAAAGAAACTCACCAAAATGATACCAGTGAATAGCATGAGTTCCTACATTGAAAGACTTTGCTAAGTGCCTTTTCCAACAGATGAAGACACAGCCACATCAAGGCGGACCAGGTGATATTTCAGCCACTGGAAAGAAAGGGAAGACTCTAAAATATTCTAGGGGAAGGGATAGGAATGGGATAGTATGAAGGTTCTAGAATCAAAATAGCATTGAAGGGGAGGGTATAGCTCAGTGGTAAAGCGCATGCTTAGCATGCATGAGGTCCTGGATTCAATCCCCAGTACCTCCATTAAAATAAACAAACATAATTACCTCCCCGCTCCCAAAAAGAAGTTTAAAAAAAACTGGATTCAATAAAGTAGACTCTTTTTTAAAAACAAAAATGTCATTAGGCTTTTCAACTGCAATACTGGAAGCCAGGAAACAGTAAAGAAACAGTACTTCCAAGACACTGAGGAAAAATTATTCCCAACCTAGAATTCTATACCCAGCCAAACTGTCAGTAAGATGCTAACAATATTTTCAGAAATGAAAGTTTTCCAAAAATGTAACCCCTATGAATCTTTTTTCAGGAAACTTCTAGAGGATGTGCTTCAGTCAAATGAAGTGAGGGGAGGGGGGAAAAAGGAAGACGTAGGATCTAGGAAACAACACAGAAAGATGCCCAAGATCATGGTGAAGGGAGATGCCGGGGTGACCGCTGGCCCAGAGCACCCAGAACAGGCTGAAGCAGGAGGACAGAGGGCTCCTGGAGGGACAGCTTCAAGAAGATGAAACTGATGGACTAGGCAGTGTTGAACACATGAAGAGGAGATGTGTACTTCTGACAATGAATTAGTGACAGTTACAAAGAAAACTTAATAAAATTGAAAAACATATACAGTGAAGAAATTTGATATAGTATAAAACCTGATTTGACTGTGAATAATATGTACGTAGTCAGAGTTATGTAAACATTAAACATTTATCTGATGAAAAATCTGAATATATAGAGAGGGGAGGAAGAAGCAGAGAGGGGCAGCACTGTATGAGGGAGTTAAATCCCCTTCCTGCAAGGCAGGAAGTCAAGCGATTAAAAACCAAAACTGAAAAAAAAATCAAGAAATGGTAATATAACTTGTCATTTAGAAACAAGGAGGCAAAAGCAAGAGCTGAGATTTTAAAATGGGAGGTAGCAATGGAGGCATGTGACACTTGAGGACATCGCCTGCGGATGGCTCTTTTTCATAAAAAGCCTAATTATGTTATACATATATAACTTTGGCTTTTTTAATTAAAAATTTTAAATGTGGAAGGCGTCCACAACAAGTGAGAAGTGTGGTATACCTCAATAGCCAGGTAGGGTGGGCTCATGGGGTGGGAGGAAGGTGGGGGGAGACACCACAGAGGGTGAAGACAGGAGAGCCAGCATCCCAGGGGAGAGGGAGCATCACAGGTGGTTGAATATCCTCATCGTGATCTGGACCACATTATCGTTAGAAAGGTCATTAAGTAGAAATAGGGGTGGAGAGATGGACAGCAAAGGACCCCGATTAGTGTGCCCACTAATGGGGATGAAGAGGAGAGTGTGGGTGACAGATGTTTCGAGGGGACTCGTTGGCACTCAATTCACTGGCTGAGGGGAGTGAGGAAGTGGAGGGAGTTGATAGGAGTGATGAGAGGAAGCAGGCTGGAAGGAGAAAGATGCCCTTCTAACCACGGACACTATCCCCAAGGCAGAAGGCTCTCCCTTCCACCATCTGACACAAAAATCATCCCGTGCAAAGGTGAGGACCCAAGCAGTAGAGTCAAGAGCTTAAGCTCTGGAGTCTTTGGGTTAAAACAGCTAAAAAGATAGAGCCGTATAAAAGAAAGGCATGGACTTTGTAGCCAGACAGACCTGGGTGTGAACTTACTGGCATGATGGTGCCACTTACTGTCGGTGCCACTTGAGGAAACAAAATAGACCTGACCACACCCACCTCACAGAGTTGCCAGGAGAGTCAGAGGAAAGAATGGCTGCAAAATGCCTCTCACAGCGACTGTCAACACTAGTGAGCTCCCTCCCATCCTGTGTCCAGACTCCCAGTCCCACGGCAGCATGGAGGTCTTCTGGGAAGACTCTTCCAAGCTCTTCCGAGCTTTGCTCTTCCCTGCATCCCCCAGGCTGTGAGGTCCCCGAAGGTTCCCGGGAGGCACCTTCAACTCCCCTCCCATCAGTTCAGAAACGGAGACCACACAGGTTTGTTGCATCAACCAGACAGTCAGCTTTATTAGCCTGCCCCCAGTGGAGAGGGAGGGAAGATGGCTGGGAGCCGTGGTGGGAGAGCAGGGGCGTGATGCAGGCCTTCGGGAGGTGAGGCCGGCAGTCGAGGAGGGCAGGAGGCTCTGGGAGAAGCTGCTCAGGGCTTGGAGCTCTGGACCTGGCAGAAGCTGGGCAAGTCCTGCTCCTTCAGGATGGGCCGGGTCTGGCGGCCAGAGGAGGATGGCAAGGAGGAGGAGCAGACTGTGGGAGAGATGGGAGGCGGGGAAAAGGGATCTGGGAGCTTAGCAGGCCCCACCCAGTGTGAGGGGGGAGGGCTGGGGGTTCTAGAGACCCTCAGGAGCCTTACCTGCCCGGTAAGGACGTAGGCTGGGAGGAGAGGCTATGTTGGAGAAAAGGCAGAGCAGTGAGATGTGCTGGGAGCGGCAGGGGGGTCGCTGATGGGCCTGTGGGGCAGGGGAGCACGGAGCACTCACAGGGCGTCCTCACCCTCCAGCAGGCGACAGTAGGTGGCCACCTCCTGCTCCAGCAGGGTCTTCACGTCCAGCAGGATCTTGTATTCCTGGTTCTGCTGCTCCATCTCGCAGCGCAGCTGGGCCAGCTGCTCCTGATCAGCTCCTGGATCTGGGCCAGCTGCAGACAGTAGCGGTTTTTGGTCTCCTCCAGGCTGTTCTCCAGGGATGCTTTCTATGAACGGCAGAGAGAGAAGAGTCAACCAAGGTGGTCACTGCTGTCCCCCTGTCCAGGTCTCTGTGCACATTTCCTGAGAGGTGCATGGATTTGGACCTGAGCTGGGCTACTGATGGGCAAGACAATGTGGAGAAAAGTTATCCCACCATTTGTTCTGGACCTTAATTTCTCCATCCATTTAATGGGTACAATGATCCCTCCAACTCACTCCTGGGAAAAGAGAGGTGGAACTGTAGTGGGGCAGTGTTCCATTCCTGGTGACTTGGGGGCTGGGCCTGGGCTGTCCTTCACATCATGCAGAGTTGGGACTGCAGTCCGCTCTCCAGGCCCTGGAGAGCCCTCCGGAGCTTGTTCACCTCATTCAGGTGCTCCGCTGCAACTCACTGTTAGAGGCCACTTCTTTGTTCAGCCCCTCCGCTGAGATAGGAAAGAACAGAAGGTGTGAGGTGCTCCGGAGGCACCCTGGCTGGGAAGTCCCGCAGGAGGGCTGAGGCCCCGAGTCCCACCTCGCACAGGAAGCAGGCCTCAGCCTCTCTGCGGTTCTTCTCCGCCATCTTCTTGTACTGGTCGCACATCTCATTCAGGATGCGCTTGGGTCCAGGCCGGGGGCGGTGTCCACCTCCACGCTGACACCCCCCGGGTCTGGCTCCATGGGGCAAGCATCTCTTAGGAAGGGATGGGTGGTCAGCCGGGCCCCAGGTGTACCTGCAACCCTCCTGGACCAGCCTCCCACTGCCAGCAGCAACCCTACCTCCTCGTGGCTCTTCCCCAGGTAGGCCAGCTCCTCCTTCAGGCCCTCAATCTGCATCTCCAGGTCGGCTCTGGCCAGGGTCAGCTCGTCCAGCACCCTGCACAGGCCGTCGATGTCGGCCTCCACGCACTGGCCCAGGGCCAACTCATGCTCAACCTGGTAAGACAAAGGTCAGGGCTTCAGGGTCCAGCGTGAGGCTTCTGAGACTCAAGACAGCCCTCCTGGATGGACAACCCCACTGCTCAGCCCCTGCCCTCTGCTCTCTGCCTTCCCCTCACCACAGGGCTGCTCACTTGGCCCTGAAGTCATTGGCCGCCTGTCGGGCACTGTCAATCTACAAAACAGGCTGTGCTTTCTTGACAGTGGCCACGACGATCTGCAGAGGGGCTGAAGGAAGGAGGCCTGGTTAGCCAAGGCCCTGCTGCTCAGGGTGAATAGCAAAGACGGGAGATAGGAACCTCCCCAATCTTGGGGGTCATCTGGCTGGTAGGTCAGAACTTCCACTCCCCCAAACAGCCTGGGATGCCTTCTCCACCCAGCTCAGCATGTGTAGAGGATGCACCCCACATCTCCACCACCCCATCCTGGGCCCGAGGCTGAGAGAAGCTGAGTGCAAAGAATGCTTGCAGGGAATAAGAGATTCAGGGTACCAGGCCCGCTCAGATGCCTTGATGCTGAAAAGGGACCTTCTGCCATCAATTCTAAGTGGCCCAGGGCCACTCCCCGAAGGCGGACCTCAGGCTCCCTGTAAAATGGAGATGCCAGCAAGCAGTTTGCTAAGGGCCACTGCAGCCACAGCCTCTATCAACACTCCACCACCAGAGCCACCCACCTGGCCCACCCACCTTGTCCCTCGAGTCCTCGATGGTCTTGAACTAGGGGCTGTATTCACAGGTGGGCTGGGCCCCTGATCCTGGTACCAGTCTCGGATCTTCACCTCCAGGTCAGCATTGGCCTCCTCCAGGGCGCTCACCTTGTCCAGGCAGGAGGCCAGGTGGTCATGGAGGTTCTGCATGGTCACCTTCTCACTGCCCACCAGGAGCCCATCACCACCACCAAAGCCACAACCCAAGCCAACACCATATACTCCACCAAAGCCGCCACCCAGGGCCCCAGCAAAGCCACCACTGCTGCTGCTGAAGCCACCGCCAGAGCCACCCCCAGCCCACAGGTTCCCCTGGAAGAGTAGCAGGAGGTGGTGACAGACAGGCCCCCATAGGCACTGGGGGCCTGGCAGGAGCCTCTGGCCAGGACAGAGGACATGCGGCTGGAGCCACCACCAATGCCACGGGAGCCCTTCACGGAGCCGGAGGAGGTGAACTGGTGGCTGCAGGTGGTCATGGTGCCAAGGAGAGAGGTGAGTGAGCGAGCAAGTAAGCAACTGGCAGAGAGAAAAGAAGGGTGCTCAGGGAGGCTGGAAGGATGTGGAGGCTGCCTCAAACCTCAGGAACCCGTCTACGCAAGTGAGGAAGGTGGGGCCCTCCCAGTGGCTGACTCCAGCCCCTGCTCCGGATTTCATCACTCCAGTTCCCATCCAACTCCCCACTCCGGACTATTCGGCCCAAGGTCAACTCAATTCACTATGTGCTGCTCCGAGTTCCCACCCCAGCTTTGGGGGATGTGAAGCTGAGAGAGAAAACACCAGCTCAAGTGGGTGGTGACTCAGGCTAGGAGAAAAGAATTTGGCTCCCATTCCTGGAGCCTGAGGGACCAGTAGGGCCCTGGCACAGGTGGCTTTGTGGTGACTGGGTCCCCAGGCAGTGAGTCAGCCCATGGAAGGACTCCCATGGTGACAGCCTTGGATGAAAGGGCCTTGGCGATGCTGTCCAGGGTCTGTCTCAGGGTGCAGCTGCGGGGATCATGCATGGCTGGCTGTGGCCAGGAGAGCTGCGTTCATGGCCCTGCTCTGCTTTGCTCACTGTGTGACCTGAGGCCCCTCACCTGCCTCCTCTGGGCCTCTGCCTTCAGGAAAGTGATAAGGCTGGACTGGGTGATCTTGGAGTCCTTTCTAGTTCTAGACATTCTATGACTCTTTCCTCTATTAGATTCAATCCCAGTTTCAGAGGCAGCTTTTGAACCCCTAGGATCTCCAGAAGTCTTACAGACCATGAAACCAGCAGGAAGCAGCTTGAATCCCTTCTCTGCCCCTTACAAGCTACATGGCATAGGCAGTCCTTTAGCCTGTGAGCCTCTGGGCCTCAGTTTTCTCATCTGTAAAAGGGGAGGACACATCACCAGCCACAAAGGAACATACATAAAAGACCCTGCTAACCCCTCCTCAGTGGCCAGCCCTGCCCCACCGCCTCCCCATCCTTAATTTCCAGCCCAGCTGCCCATCTCGTCCACCTCTATGCTCTGGTACCTCCCTCTCACACCCCTGCCCTCTCCTCTGCTCCCTGACATTCCCACCCTTTGAGCAGCCCACCCCCTAGTGCTTTGCTCCATCCACCTAATCATGGGCACCTTACACTGTGCTGAGACGGGGTCCCCCTCCTGGTGCTGGTGCCATGTGTGACCCCTGACCCTGCCACAGGCCCCCGAGCACCCACACTATATCCAGAGCTCAGATCCCAACACTTTTCTCTTGAGTGTCCACAGATGCCAGGCTGGACTTGACAGCTTTATTCATTCCGTCGAGGAGATGGTCCACTGTCACACTCGGGTATTGTATGGAGTACACTACACAGGCCACACGGTTCTATGAGGGGCCTTATTCCTGCCACCAGTTCACAGATGAGAGAGATGAAGGATATGTGAGCCTCCCAAGGCCCCAGTCAGTGGGGAGCTGGGGCTTGAACCCCTGTCTGTCTGCTTGCCCAGCCCAAGCCCAGTACACCATCCTGAACTACTCTCTCTATGCGCCTCCAACATTTCCTCCATGCCAGCGAGGCGCACCTGCCCCGAGGCTGCCGTGAGCCAGAATCACCAGGCCTGGTCAGCACAGAACACAGACTCCCACCCACTCCTCCAGGCAGTGGGCTCCTTCTTCTACCCAGGCCTCTCTCCTCTCTCCTTGGCCCAGCTGCATCCCAGGTATGAGGTCATCTCATACCTGAATGGGCCGAAAATATTATTGGCCAATGCCATGCCTCCACTTGCAGTGATTTTCAAACCTGACTGATCACCAGAATCCCTATACAGATTCCCGGGCCCTGCTCTGACCCTACACCGCATTAGCATCTCCCAGGACAAGCCTGACTGTGGGGACGTTTTACAAGCTCCCAGGGGATTCTGGGGACCAGCCAGGCTGGGGAGCAAGAGGTGGCTAGGGGAGGGAGGGTGGGAGAAGGAGACCGCAGGGAGACTGAGTGGAGAAAGGAGGCTGTGCAAAGCCCCCAGCCCCTGCAGGCAGCCACAGCCACAGGCTTCAGGATGGAATGAAGAAAGAGAGGAGCCAGGACAAGCCGGGACTGAGCCAGCTGGAGTCAAGCAAGTCGTTCTGCCCCTCTGAGCCTCAGTTTCCTTCTCTGGGAAATGGGAGTGGCAGCACTACATCACAGGCATGTCAGAGGTGAAATAAATAACGCATCTGGCACAGACTGGCAGCTATCACTGCATTTATCCATAGGTGTTTACAAAGTACCTACTGTGTGCCACACACTGTGGACACTCACATGCGAAAAGCAAGACAGAAAGACCCTCAGGACAGACTGTCTGGAGGAGGTAGAGACAATACCAAGTGTTCAGGCCACAATGGGGTGCCAGGGGGCCTGCAGGGAGCGGGCAGGGCAGGCTCTGACCCCGAGACTGTTCCCAGGATCTGGGGGAATGGGTGAGCTCCAGATCCGCCTTTGGTGGTCCCCCCACCACCATGTTTGATGCCTGCTTCCAAGGCAGAGGCTCTCACAGCCCCTCACGACGGTCTGCACAACCAAGGGGCCCTTGCGGGAGCCTGTGTGGCTGGGTCAAGCTGGGTTATAGCCTGGGTTCTGTGCCTGGAGGCAGAACTGTCCTGGCTCTGGTCCCTCTGTTCCTCACAGCCCCCCACAGCCTGGGCAGCACAGGAGAATACACTGTATAAGGGCTGAGGGCTTACTGCCAGCCCCGCCATGGTGCCTGGCTCACCACCCCTAGACTGGGGTCCCTCAGGTCTCTCCCTTTCCCCAAGCCCAGTGCAGACCCAGGCACAGAGCGACGCAGTGGTAGTGCCATGTCATTTCCCTGAAGAAAGGGCTGCCAGGTCACCCTTCCAGGGTGTGGGCGTGGTGGAGGAAGAGTCACAGACTGGCTACCACCAGCCTGGGCCTGAGCCTGGGAATCAGGTGTGTGTGCCCATCATGTGAGAGTGGGTGTGGCGGCGCCGGGGGAAGTTACAGACCGGTTCACTGAAACATTTCATGCAGTGAGTGGGTGGGTGTGGATGAATGGTGAATCCCTCCAGAGAGCCCCACCACGGAGTCCCCCAACCAGCCACAGCCTCACATCCCCAGCAGCCTGGGTCAGACTGGAGTGCCTGAACAAAGCCACCAAAATTCCCCCGTACCATCCCCAAGGGGATCGCAGTTTCCCGCCCCAAGTCACTCTGCCCTGTGGACCCCATCCACCCAAGCCTGGGCTGAGAGCTCCTGGCTAGGGCAGGGCTGTCCCTCTCTGGGCCCAGAACTATCCCCTGCAAACCCCCAACCCCTATGCCGCAGCCACTGCGTCTAGTGACGTAGTTCCCGGCACACCTGGCTGCTCCGCCTCACTCTGTGTGCAGGGGCTTCTCCCCCTGCCGAGGGGAGAAGTCCGGGCTGTCTCGGGCCAATCCCACATTCGGATCCGTCCTCACTCACCCCATCAGTAAGAGTGGACCCCAGAGTCTGGAGAGTCTGAGGGAAGCGAAGGCCCTGCCTAAGCGCCTGGGGCTGGGCAGGGGGTGGAGCTTTCGGCTCCTCTTCCCAGCACAGCCACCTCCCCTCGAGTGGTGCCTGGCTCCACCCCTTAAATGCCAGGCTCCAGACAAGCGCTGAGTCACTGCTCCCTGGAGCCTCAGTGTCCACATCCACACAATGGGGCGCCTCTTCCCAGACCCTCCCTGCTTCCTAGGACTGTTGTTCAGATAAATGAGATCACCCCTCAGAGGAGCCATTCTCAGCCCAGGGCGGGTTCTTCTTGTTGTAGCCTGATGTCTGGTGGGTTCAATGCCTCCGTCCCGCCCTCCACCCCTACGCTGATGATTGCCCAGTCAGCTGAGAGATGCCAGGCTCTGATGGAGTGGAGCCCACACTCCCAGCCTGCTTTGAGTCCTGCCATTGCACCTGCAGGCACAGGCCCCTGGACTCCAGCCCATAGTCCCTGCCAAGGAAAGGAAATCACTGTCCTTTCCTGGCTAGAAAGGCTATTTTAGCTGCGGCTCATCCCACCCCTCCTTTACTACAGCTGCTGAGATCCCAAGAGGGCCTGAAGTCCTCACACCCAGCAGTCCACTTCCTAGATAGTGCTCATGCCACAGCCCCCCCTGCACCTCCCTGTCCTCTGCTGGTCCCAAGCCCCCACTGCTCCTGCCTGCTCCCTGCCCCGGCACCCACAACCCAGGCTCCAGGCACCCAGAAAGAGCAGGTGTTTGGAGGGCCCTGGTGTGATTCTACAGCAGAGAGTCTGGACCTGTCAAAAAGCTACTCTAAGCCAGGATAGACTGTACCAATATTTTGATAACCTATATTATAAGTTCTGTGATGTCTTTGTGTGTGTGATGTCTTTTTTCTTGCATCTCTTTTCTGCCTTGATACAGATAACCTGTAAAAAAATCTATGTTGTTTGCATTTGAATAACTTGAATTTACTTTAGTCTTACTTTGATTTAACACAAAGAAGCACTAATAGTATTGCCTGTTTTAGAAGCCTGAAGTCAGTAACATGAAACCCAATCTCAAGAATTTGAAACAAATTCCCGTGCGTGGAAGGACTGTAAACTCAAGTTTGGCCAAAGCGTTATTAGAGCACGGTGTATTAACTAAATTCTGTTCTTCAAAAAATTGAATTGTAATAAAGATTTTTGATGTGCTATTTCACTTTCCAGTAGCCAATAACTTTGTGTAGAGGATCTTACTAAAATTTGAGAAATAGTTAAGTATATTTTTAAAAAAAGGTGGGGGCATTCTTGCTCTCATTCACCCCTTCCACCCACCCCCACTTCTTGAAGAAAACCAGGAAATCAGGCCCACCCGGCCCAACTGTTACCAGATTTACTCAAAGGAAGACTTCCTGGAGTCTGTCTGGGCTGGCGTCTGGGCTGGCTCCCCTGCTGGCTCAGCGCCTGCCTCCAGGGGGAGGGGGGCTGGGCTGGAGGGTTCAGGAAAGATTAGAGCGGAACTGCCCCTCCCCACTTCCCCAGGAGGTAGTTTCCCACCCTCCCCGACCTCCAAGCTGCTGAAACCAAGAGAGACAAACTGCCAGGGAGGGTGGTGCTTCTCCCTGGGCCCATCCTGAGCGGACCATCTAAGGAAACATCTCTGGGACATGCCCCACCCTCTCTCCCGCACCTTCTTAGGAAGCACAGGTATCAGCTCATATTTCTAGGGTTGAGGCAGTGGGAGTCCCGGACCCACAGACCCTCTTCTGGGGCTTTTCTGAGACTCACACAGGAAACTGGGCCCTCATCACCCAGCCTGCCTCCCCTCCCAGCTTTCCTTCCCTCGTGCCCTTACCTCAAGGAGAATCCTGATTCCTGTCCTGCCCCAACCCCTTCCAACCCCACCCTTCTTGGAGGAGTTCGGGGGTCCATAGGACTGCGAGGGGCAACTGATCAGATGCTTCATCCCTTGGGACTCTGGCTCCCACACCTGAGATCTTCTCATTCATTTATGGATAAGAAAATGAGGCTCAGCGAGGGGAAGGAATAGCCCAAAGTCATGAACCTAATTATAGGGCAAGAAGAGGCCACCTAAGACCTCCTCCTGGCACGCCATCCTCACCCCAGGTCTGACACTGCCTGGACCACCCTCCCTGGTTTCA